TTTTTTTTTTTTGTTTTGGTTTGCTTACATCAAATCTTAGTAAAGAAAAAAAAGAACAATTTTTTATAATATGAATAAAAAAAGAAAGGAAATAAGAGGAAGAAGAAGACCACAATAAAATTAATAAATGCAGATAAAACAAAGAGATAAGCAAAAATTTTAGCAGCACATTATTTACAGTTTAAAAAAAGAAAAAGTTACCTTTATTCGTTGATGAAAATGAATATAAACTACAAAAACAAAGATAAGATTGGCTAACTGCAATAAATAGAAGCAACAGTTTTGTTTCATTGACTATAATCAAACTCAGAGCTGTCCAACTGAAACATATCGTCGGTAATTTGATACCAAAAACAATATGCGCAAATAAAAATTTTGACAAAAACAATTATAATTTTGTAAACTACAGATAGATGTACAGTGAAACCGATTGAAAACTATAGACAGCAATGGCAAAAAATTTTGGAAAAAGTGATAGAATAGAAAAAAAAATACTGAAAAAAGACTAACCGCTTGCTGAATGATTAGTTCATTAGTTGGTATTGTTAATCAGTTGTTTAATCGGTATTTTTTTTTTTCGTTTTACAGTTTTCTTGACACAGATTTATGTCGTTAATTTGTTGTATACATATGAAACAACTTAAGAACCGATTTGGGTTATTATTCAGCTAAACAACTAAACAGTGATATGCGTATTAAAAACGGACAAATAATTTTACAGATACATCTTTGAAAAAAAATTTTTTTTTTTTTGATTAACGAAAATTTATGACAATTTTATCACTCCTACAGTATTCTGATGTTTTTAATAATATTAACTTTTATTAAATTATCTAATTTATATTTGAAATTATATAAAAACTTTTGTGCTGTAACGTGCGAAGCAATTTTTAAGATAAAAAAAATAGTAAAATTATGGGCATTTTGCCAGCGAAAAGAATTTCTTTTTTTAACGGTACGATTAAAAAAGAGTGCGTTGATAAATAAACAAATAAATAAAGTGAAAAGTGTGCAGAGGACGGAAAATGGAGGAGCATTGTCAAAGATTCTGTGGTTTTCGGTTTTATGGAGATATAATTTGTTGACAGAAAAAAAATTCTTTTTGCCTTGTTTAATTTTTTTTCTATTTTTTTTCTGTATTTTTTTTTTTGTTGGTAAAGTTTGTTTGAACTTTTATCTTATGAATCCATACTCGCCTTTTTCTTTTTTTGGTGTTAT